TAATTGGGTCCTTTGGCTTCTCGATTCTTTGTTTTTTGAGTTCTTTATATATTCTGGATGTTAAACTTCTGTCAGATGTGTCACTGGTGAAGATTTTTTCCCATTCTGTGGGTTTTCTCTTCACTTTTGATTTTTTTTTTCTGTACAGAATTTTTTTAGTTTAATGAGGTCCCATTTGTTGATTGCTGACCTTTATTCCTGAGCAACTGCTGTCTGATTTAGAAAATCCTTTCCTACACCTATATTTTGTAAGTTACTGAAATATTTTCTTCTAATAGTTTCAGGGTGCCCAGTTTCACATTGAGGTCTTTGATTCATTTGGAGTTGACTTTTGTGCAAGGTGGAAGATAAGGATCTAGTTTCATTCTTCTACAAATGGAGATCCCGTTTTGCCAGCACCATTCTTTGAAGATGCTGTCTTTCGTACATTGTGTGTTCTTGACACTTTTGTCAAATATCAGGTGGCTGAAATTGCATGTACTCAGGTTTGGATCTTCAATGATGTTCCATTGATCTATGTGTCTGTTTTTGTGCCAGTACCATGCTGTTTTTATGACTATGGCTCTGTAGTATACTTTGAGATCTGGTATAGTAATCCCCCAGCATTGCTGTTTGTGCTCAGGGTTCCTTTGGCTGTCCATATCCTTGTGCTTCCATATGAATTTAAGGATGGTTTTCTCTAATTCTGTGAAGTATGTCATGGGAATTTTGAATGGGATTGCATCGAATCTATATATTGATTTTGGTAGGATGGTCATTTTCACAATATTAATGCTTGCAGTCCATGAGCATGAGAGGTCCTTCTATCTCCTGGTGTCTTCCTCAATCTCTTTCTTTAACGATTTAAAATTTTCATTGTAGAGACCTTTGGTGTCTTTGGTCAAATTTATTCCAAGATTCTTTTATTTTTTTTCAGCTATTGTAAATGGGAACATTTCCCTGTATTCTTTCTCCAATTGCTTGTTATTGGTATATAGAAAGGCTACTGATTTTTGTAGATTGATTTTATTACCTGCCACTATACTGAAAGTGTTGATCAGTTCTAGGACTTTTTTGGTGGAATTTTTGGGACCTCTTATGTATAGTATCATATCATCAGCAATAAGTGATAGTTTGACCTCTTCTTTTCCAATTGGTAGTCCTTTAGTTTCCTTCTCCTGTCTTATTGCTCTAGTAAGAGTTTCAAGCACTATGTTGAAAAGGAGTGGAGATAGTGGACATACTTATCTGGGTCCTGATATTAATGGGGATGCTTCCAGTTTTTCTCCATTTAGAATGATGTTGGCTGTGGGTTTCTTGCATATAGCTTTAACTATGTTGAGGTATGTTCCCTCCAGTCCAATTCCCTCTAGGATTTTGAACATAAATGCATGCTGAATTTTGTCAAAAGCCTTTTCTACATCTATTGAGATGACAATGTGGTTTTTTTATTTA